TTCACACCTACTTGTTTTACCTAGTTTGTGGGGTCCTATTGGACTATTTTCACATCTTTAATAAGTTCAGCATACTTTCAGCTAGCAAAGCCATTCAGGTATCAAAATGTTCAGCTCTTCAAGGACAGTCATTTCTAAACTTCATACTTTTGAAACATTTAGCTTTATTTTGACAATCTCGTCCTATTCAATTGAATGGGAAAATTCTACTTCAGCATAATGTCAGGTAGCATTTCTCTAGTTTATACTGTTTATTTGGTTACACTACACGGCCTTATGTTGGTATATAGTTTAATTACCCCTTGCTGTTGGATTTAGATATAATTTTTAAAGGCCTGGATATCAACCAGATATGTATCTGTAGCATCGAGTATCAAGTACTAAAACTGGGTACTGAATTCTTGCTGAGATTCACAGGCTTATTCACATGTGGTGTTTTTAATAACATGAGTGTAAGTGGAGTGTTGCAAAATGTGCTTACGTTTCATGGGTCCCAAAGAAGAAGATGGGGTACTTGTTGGCAGGCGGCTTGACAGCTCCTTCTGGGAGCTCATCGATCTGAAAGAAAAGGGGAGGAGCCACAGTGATCGGATATTTATTACGCACCTCCTGATGTTAATAATTCCGAGTTTCATTCCAATCATCTGTTAATACCTATTACCTGAAAAGAAGAGGCATGCGACCGTTATTGGCTTATACATGTCAAACATAACACAATAACGCGCGGTGAAACTGAACCAACGGCGTATATTAGAGAGTGTTGCTCATAGTAACTTGTCAGAGATTACAAATGGAGCCCACTACATGAGTGGAAATCCACAGCAATAACACGACAGTCCATGTGCGCCACTGGATTTAAGGCCAGTCCGCGTTAAGGGACTGTAGTGGGTTTATAGCAAATGAGATGTGTGTATTTACAGTAGCGCTGAAACAGGCGCTACGGGTTACCTGAGGTCAGTTGTTGGCTCATTTATTCTGCAGGTAATAGCTAAATGCAAACAAATGAAAAAACGCGCTTTGAAATAATTAGTGAAAGATAATGGCCATCTAAATATGAGAAACTGCTTACAACTCAAGCAAGAGCTGAATGGAGGAGGGACTGTAATAAGAAAAAATTATTCTTCTTCATTTTAAAATGTCTACATTTTTACTCAACCCTGCGGAAACAAAATAGCGCACAACAGACGCTTCGGTCTAAACTACGCAGACCAAATATGTGTGTGGAGTGAGCCCCTGCCGAGCTCAGGGAACCACGGCATCCCTCCTGTTCTCCCAGCAAAGCAGCGGCAGTATTGTGTAAATCAACCCCGCCTCCCCGTCCTCCCAGCACGGCCGCATACCAGACTCACCCTCGCCGGCCAGTGCGGGTATCCCTTCATTTTAGCGAAAACCAAATCTCCTGCCTTGTATTCCCGCGACCGTGGTCGAGCCATGTCACTGGATAAAAGCTGAGCTTTGAGATGACTTTACAATCCTTGCAGTTCACCGCGGGGCCCTCAACGCAGGGCTAAATTATCGACCATCAATGTTTTTATATGAAGACTGCAGTTTACAGGGAAATAAATAATTAAAAAACGCGGAAAACGGGCCCTGGAAGCGCTATCCTCTTACGCACAAATCCAGGTGTAAACGTATTCGAGAATGGCATAAGTTGGACGGTACCTGTAAGAAACGTAAAGTCTGGTACAGAAATTAAATTCAAATTTCCGGTCTTAGAAACAAGAGCAATGCGGCCACATTTCTGTCTTGAACCTGCTTTTTAGCCCAGTAATAAAATGATGAACCTGATGTTGTTTTTATTCCATTAAAGCATCTTGCAAAAAGTGATAACATAGCATCATAACATTATATAACACAAAGTTACCAATATTACAAATACAATGATACATATGATTAAACAATATTTTTTTCAGTGACTGAATTCCAGTAAATGTAGCCTACAAAAAATATAAAGTGCGCAACTTTAAATCCTGTTTGAAATGTATAGGCAGTAATGACATTTGGCCACTTGGTGGAAGCTTTTCCAAATGTTTGCAAGCTGAGGTAGCAGACCTTTCTTAAGACTTGCAGCAGACAAGAAGCAGTTGGAAACAGTCTAATCAGATAAGAAGATGAAATTTAACAGTTTAAGCAAATCTAACACCAAGATGAGTGGAAAAGTAAGTGAGAATTTAGTGTAAAAATTCAGTTCACAGACATTTAAATTAGCCAGTTCACATTCATAGTTCACTATTTTGAATTTTGAACTAAGTTCACAGTTCTGGTAAATAAACTGGTTCATGTTTTTTTTTAATTGTTATTCTTTTAAACAAGCTGCTTTGAACCAAAGGAAACTTTTTTTCAGTAGAACGCCTGCCTACCCAACGATCCCCCATTTCCATTCATATACTTGTACATTCACAAGTTCAGTGGTGGAAAGTAGTACATCTACCTAGTGCTGTACCCTACAAAGGAACACTTTTGAAAGGTTTTTTTACTTTACTTGGGTATTTCAGTTTTTTGTTGCTTCATTACTTTTCAGAGGCAAGTGTAATATTTTCACTCCACTATACTTATTTGATAACTAGAGTTACTAATAGTAATGAGTGATGCTTCATACTTCATGTGTCGTTTCAATTTTCTTGTGGGTGAGGCTGATGTTCAGACTTGTTTTTTCAGATTTGAATGGTACAATCTACATACAAATGAGATTTTTTTCCAATGGAATTTATACTGATTTGTTCATAAAATTCCTTCAAATATTCATATAAACTGCAGTAACAGTAGCAGGAAAGCATTTACTTTATAACTTTAGTTACTAGTTATTTTTCAGAACCAGATTAACACAAAAACACAGTATAATCATAACAATTTATTGATCTCTGGTGGAAAATTCTCAAGCTAACCAGCAATAATTCAAGTTATGAGCACATTGTCAGGTTTGCCCGGCTGCACCTGCCTTTCTCACTCTCTCTTTTTCGGCCCCTGATTACACCACCTAGCATACCTGCTCCACATCCCCTGATTATCACCAGCTGCACTTCATTAGTTCTATCCCTACTTATACCCCGCTCACCTATCACTCCCTTGCCAGTTTATTCTTGTTCTCAGGCCCGTTCAATCATTGTTTTCTTGTATTTTTACCATTTGTCTCTCACCCTTAGTTCTCCTAGCTCCTACCAGTACTATCTTCCACTCTTCGTTGCCATATTCTCCTTCTGCTGTTTTTCTCCTTCACAGACATCTTCTCTGGACCCTGGACCTACTCGGCCCTTCCAGTCTCCACCATTTCCGGTTGATGCACAGTCTCCTTAACTCATCTGTATAAACTCCTGCCTTCTTTCTCCATAGCCACCACCGTCTCTCCGTCGACCAGCTCAGGAGTGACCCCAGCGTCCGCAGCCTGGCCTTCTCCCATCCATCTCACCACAAACTGGTTTCTCTGCTGCTGATCAACACCTGGTTACTCCCATCATTTTACACTTGCCTGTTATCATATGGACTTTTTTCTCACTGCACTGTAAAAAAATTTAGCACTGCTTGCACTGAAGTCAGCTACCTGGGTCTGCCTCCTTTTACTCGCTCTCCTCTGTGTCCGAGCAGACACAACACATAACATAGTTCCCAGCAAATACCCAGCATTGGAAAGACATGCATGTGACATCTACTGTATATCACATCATTTGGTCTAAGTCCTTTTCTCTATGCCTGCGAGACATGCAATAGAGGTTCAAAACTCAACATCTGGATATGACTCATGTTGGATGTCTTTGGACGTCTAATACAACTTCAGTATTTTGATGTCTGGCACAAACCACCATTCTACATCTGTGGACTACACATTAGGGTGGACTTTTGCACGTCTGGTCTCGACTTATTTTGGACATCAGTGACATACACCCACCAAACACAGAGACGTGACAAGGACATCTAATTGAGGTCTGTGTCAGATGCTGAAAAGTGGTTCATTGAGTACTGACCTCCAGATGTGCAGATACAGAACCTATGCTGGATGTTCAGGCATAACTGAAAACAGCACTAAAGGAGGCCCAGGTGAATAGTGGCGGCTGGTCAAGAGCTGATTGGGTCGTCATCACAGGAAGCAGATGGGGAGAGCTGGTTGGCTGCAGACTTGGTTGGACTCCAGGAGGTGGTGAGATGATCTTGGTGAGTGGTGAAGGTAAGCAGATGAAGACTTGACTGGCACATCAGGTGGGCGAGGTGTTGAGAGGCGTCTATGCAGGTTCAGGAGTGACCGGATGGAGGTGAGGAGTTTTGGGTTGGAGGAGGTTGCAGGGCTGGAGTGGTCTGTGTGGCATAGTGGGTCATTGAAGAGTTGAGCAGAGTGAGTGTGGCTGATGCAGGAGCTTGCCAAGTTGTGGCATGGAAAAAAAAAACAGGAAAGAGCTGACACAGAGCTAGTAGAGATTATTCAGCCTTGAGGAGTTCAGGTGACTGAAGTTAACAGTCTCAGGAGCAAGCCAGGCAGCAGCGTGGATACAGGAAAGTACAGACACTGAGCAAGAAGAGACTGAATCAACATAGGAGAGTTCAGGTAACTGCTGGCTGAGAATGAGACAGGGAAACCTTCAGGAAAACAATCCTTTAGTTTTGGCTGTCTGGATGTAGTGAGAGCAACTAGGCAAACCTGAAGGGCACAATGAACAGAATAATGAACCAACAAGTAACTGAGGGAAAGGAGATGGTGTAAATGGCTGAAAACCAGGGGATGATTGGCAACAGGTGAAGACAATGAACACTGATGGGAACTGTGGTAAATCTGGGGTAAGAGAGGTGGACCGAAACAGGAAAAACCAACCCATAATAAAAGTGCAAAAACAGGAAGTAAGTCCAAATCATACATGTCTGAATTAAGTCAGGTTTAGACATGCAGTCATTTAAATAATTTTGAATGCCTGAGAACATCCAAAACAGGTATAAAACATACGCCAATGTTTTGGGTCTGTTTTGGATGTCTACTGACATCCGAAAAAGGTCCCCAAAAATGTCCAGACACTGAACCTCTGCTGGATATCAATGGATGTCCAAGCTAAAACTGCACTGAATCTGAATCTGTGGGTATGACATAATTATGTATCTGAATCTGTAGGCTAAAGGGGTGGCATATGCCATTGTGAGCATTTACACTTGTGCACTGGTGCGTCTGTGTTGCAGTGCAATTGCACTGCCAAAACGCTAGTTTCGAGTAGGGTTTCTATGCTACTATATTGCATTTATTCACTGCTTACTAACAATGATGACTGAAACTGAGCGGGTCATGTTGGAGTTAAAACTAATAGATGGTGAACAGCAGATACTTTTACTGAAATGACTGCAAATGACTGCAACACAGATAAGAGAGTAGATGCTGGTGGTCTGTACAACCACTGAACCAGCTGAGTCAGACTAGGGAGGTTTTTCCATTTTTGTCCAGCCACTGATAGACAGGACCGAGGAAATGAGATGCAACCAATCACAGTTGCTGAGATCAGCGCTGCCATGACATGTACTTATATTTCTGGCTATGGCATAGGGCAGGGGTGTCAAACTCAGTCGCACAGGGAGCCAAAATTCAAAGCACACTTTAGGTCATGGGCTGAACAGGATAATTATTTATTGAACAGACTAAAACTAAACATTTTTTTGAACATAAATATGAATCGAAACAGACAGGATACAATATTATTCCAAAATAAATAAACTTAAACTTAAAATCAGCAACCATATTTCTGCTAAGGCTTACATTTGCAAACACCTGCTTTTTATCTGGACACAAGATGTCGCACACTTTCATCATGCAGCTCTTCAGAAACTCTCCCCCAGTAAATGACCGGGCTGATTTGGCTATGTCCTCTGTTGCAAAAAAAATTGCTGTCACAGCAGCTTCACTGTGTGATTTTGCTTTGGTGAAAACGTCCGCTGTGATGTCAGATTCCTCTTCAACTCCTTTACCTTCTGTACCTTCTGCTCTGCATTCACGTTTTTCAGCTTGTCCTGATGTTTTGTCTCATAGTGCCATTTTAGGTTATATTCCTTAATTACAGCCACATTAGCTCCACAAATAAGACACACAGGTTTATGTCAGTAAACATATACTCAGCCTCCCACCGGTTTTGAAAGGCTCTGTTTTCAGAATCAACTTTTCTCTTGGCCATTGTTAGGGGCTAGCTTTGAATTGAAATTAGGGTTGTATACATCAACAGATGCTTGATTGATCTGATGTAATTGACGCGGGAATAATTGCAGGTAGCCTATCGTTTGGTAACGCAGCTGTTGCGCTGCATTATGGGATTTGTAGTTTGTGTGTTATCGGCGCTTCTTATCGCCGGGCCATTAAAAAAAATATATAGAAAACTAAAGAAATGCATTTCCTATCAAAAATGCATGTGGATGCAATGTGCTAAAGGATTGTCCTGAAAATGCTGAACATTTTGACACCTGAAAGGCATATGTACCTGGAATTATGCTGAAGTACAATTTTCCCATTAATTTGAATGGGGGAAAATTTTCAAAATAGAGCTAAATATTTCAGAAGTGTGAAGTGTATAAAAATTCTGAGTCGAAGCATGAATGTCCTGGGAGACTTAAACATTTTGATACCTGACATTATGCTGAAGTAGAATTTTCCCATTCATT